AATTAAACAAGTAAAAATCCAGCGAAGTTGTCCATTGCGTGACAGAATGTATGTAAATGTCACAAAATTCGATGTCCTAGATTACACAACACTACTTAATCCAGCAAGAAAACTGCATAAATTAAATGAATTTACTCTATTTCGCAATTTCCTATTTAGTGCTATATTTTATATTTTGGAGTTTTCACCGAGAGTCGTCTGCAAGAAAAGTGTAGATGGAGCATCTGTTAGACTACGAATAGTGTAGATAGCGTTACATACACATAAAGAGACCGGATACTTTTGTCTGAGCCTTGTTCATGTGTCTGAGCCACTCGAATGAGCTGACACTCAATTTTCGTATGCCGTAAATGATCTAATAGACGCCCTCTCTCAAATAAACGCTTCTTGTCTAACAGACGCTCCATCTATACTTTTCTTGTTGACGACTCTCAGTGATAACTCCAAAATATGAAATATAACACTAAATAGGAAATTGCGAAATAGAGCAAATTCATTTTAATAATTTATGCTGTTTTTTTCCTGGATTAAGTGTTAAGCTCGGACAATGAGGTTTGATAATCTGCATATTAATGAGCGTACTACTGAGGCGTGTGAACGAGTGACCACGTACTACACTGAAGCAAATCAAGCGCGCGGGTGGTATTCATTCGCTGTAGTTTGCCTGGAAAGGGAAGGTTTGGAAGTATACAAGGACAAGGACATAATAAGGACACAAGGTACAGGGAAAACAAATGTCGTAGAACCGATTATATATAAATACTAAACAGGCTAGATGTTTGGTGTAAATTTTGAACACCATTTGCTGTGTCGTGTCTGAGCACCGCATGTTCGTTTTACACTCAGCCGATTTCGAGGTAATTTTAAATTCCTGAAAGCCGGGATATGAGTTCAGTTTCGGCTTTATAATTGTAAAATTTTCCGACTTATGTCTATGAAACATGTATGTACCATTGTGGGTCTTGAGGTTGCATTAAAATTGCAGTCGAACCTCCAGTAATGGCCACACCTCTCCATATTTTAGAACGGCCACTTTCATTTGCCCCGGCGGACAGTCCATCTTATTTAAACCTCTCTTCAACGGTCCATTAACCTCTCGACGACGGCCAGTTTTTTCAGTGACCTGATGAAAAACTCAAGGATGACCATAAAAATTTGGTAGGCTAACTGCTCAGCGGACACAGTTCAGTGAGCAAGACAAGAAAAGACAATGCTTTATTTGGAGTCTTATACAGTCCTACGTACATCGACTTTATCCAAATAATTTTAACCATAACACAAATTGCACACTAGCGGAACTATAATCAATGTTAACCTAAAGAACTGATGATCCTCTTTTCTCATAGCAGTCGAATACGTATTTTGCAATTAACTTTTGCACTGGTTTGTTCTGTACTGGTATTCTGTATTCTTTGTTTAAGTATTCAAATAAAGTACTTCTTTTTTCTTGATACGCAGGGCAAAGAGTTAAAAAGTGTATTTCATCTTCTACGTCTTTTTTACAGATAGGACAGACCCTCTCTTCCGGTTTCTTATACGGTCTTACATACCGACCTGTCTCTATCGCCAATTTGTGATTACTTAGACGGAGGTTAGTTAGAGTTATCCGGTGTCGGATGTGGGTGACCTGAGGGAGATAATCTTCACATTTATAATTTTCTATCGTTTTAAATTTTCGGAAGGTTCTTTTTTATAGTTTGTTCTTTTGGTTGGCGTCTTTTCTTACATTATTGTTTACGTCACTTAACCATCTTTGTAATTCGATGTCTTTCAGTCTTTGTTTGATAATGTTCAAGATTCCAATGTCATTTTCATGTGCTTTTGTCCAGAGGTATCCCAGCCCTATTTGGTCTAATACGCGTTTGATGTTTTGGCTCCATAATTCCTTATTCATCCTCGACTTCATATCATTATAAACCACCTGTGATAATTTATGTTTTGGGTGTTTGGTTAGAGTTAGCCAAAACTTTAAATTCCTATATTGTGCTTCGATTTTTATTGGGAATTTTCCTGTTTCAGCCCTACATGCACTGTTGCTGCAATATTTATTTACACTTAGCAACCATTTCAAGAATTTAATTTGAACTAATTCTGCGGAATCTTTTTCTATTTGGTCGTTACAGTCAACACCCCAAATTTCACTTCCGTAGAGAAGTATGCTGGATATCAGAGCATCGAATAGCTTAATTGTCAGCATAATATTTTCTCTAAAGTTGTCACCCATCTCTTTCCTTAGTTTATAAAGTGCCTTAAGCCCAACTGTTTTTAACTCTTCTCTTGCTAAAGTAAAATTTACATACGGGTTCAGTGTCATTCCCAGATATTTATAAGATTTAACATTGTTTAGTTTATTTACTCCATACTTAAACGAGTAGTTATTTAAGGACTTGCCACAATTATTAAAGATCATGACTTTTGTTTTGTCTAGATTTACAGATAGTTCAGTTTTCTCACTGTACGATTCCAACTTGTTGAGGAGTGTTTGTAGGCCACTTGCTGGCCGCGAAAAGATCACTAGGTCATCCGCATATAATAGACAGTTTATAGGTCTTTCAGAGTCATCAAGCAGAATATCGGTTGAGCTTGGTGAATTTAAAAATTCGGGGAAATCACTTAGATAGAGATTAAAAAGGGTGGGTGATAAACATACAACCTTGCTTAACTCCAGTGTAACACGGAAAAGCTTCGGTCATTTTGTTGTTGATTTTGACTGCTGATTTATCTTTTGAGTACATGGACATTATACTATTTCTAAAAAACGCCCTTTAATTCTTTCTTTTCTGAGTTTTTCAAATAACTTTTGCCTGGGTATGCGATCAAAAGCTTTTCTAAAATCTACAAAACACGAGAAAAGCAAGTTCCTGCGTTTTTGTGGTTTAGATTTAACAAACTTATCTATGAGTGTTTTTAAGATGAAGATGCTATCTACTGTACCGTGCCTTTTTTTATAAAAGCCGCCTTGTTCTGCTTTTAGAATTCCTTTTTTGGTCATGTAATCATTCAATCGATCATTGAGGATGGATGTGAAGAGTTTACCTAATGCAGAGAGCAACGTGATGCCTCGGTAATTTTCAGCTTTTGATCGATCATCCTTTTTATGTATAGGGACGATCAGGCCAAAACTCCAGAGCGTAGGATATTTACCTGCACTTAAAATATGATTGAATAACTGTAGTAGATGACCTTTTATGATATCTTTCCCGGTTTTTAGCACTTCATTTAATATTTTATCACACCCTGGGGCTTAGTTTAATTTCAGTTTTTTGATTGCGAAATCAATTTCTTCTGCCGATATTGCATGGTCTAGGGGGCCTGCCTCTTCCTCAATAACTCCAGCATCTTCTAGATCTGTCTGGTCGACGTTCGTTGGAGCCGCGTTTTGTTGTTTGAAGTATTCATAAAACTGTTCCGCACTTACTGTTTCGGTTCCATGTGGTTGCCGTTTTCTAATATTAAAGATTTTTCCCATCTGTTTCCAGGTATCTTGAGGATTACAGAGATCAATATCGCCTTTATTTCATGAATCACACATTTTCTTTTGTTATTCAACATACTTTATTTAACTTACATACTTCATGAACATTTAACTAGCTGAAAGTCCGGGGAGGGCTTGATAATGTAGCAGGGAAGAGCGGGGCTGATGAATTGAATAAATTGCTAATTATAAATGCAAGGACAATATCTATATAAATACCCGGGATTTATTTGTATATTGCCCTGCTGCCCTGGGCAATATACAAATAAATCTCTTCCATTTATAATGAGCAATTAAAGTAAATCGTACACGTCCTTTGACCCCGCCAAACATTCTGAGAAAATTTCTCCCTTTAACACAAATATAGAAATTTATTCTGCAACTATAGAAAATACAGTAGTATCCCATATATCATACAGGCTATGTGTTCACTCTAAGAAAATTTTAAGTCTGATATCTCGGTGGCCCGTACGCTCCATAATCAACTTATCGGAGATTCCTTTTTCCAGTCCACGTGTTGCTGTTGTGGCCCTCAGACTGTGATTGCTGAATTGGCCCTGTAGGTCTGCGTCTTTACACATTTTGCTAACAACGTTTCCAAGCTTGTTATGTCCAACAGGAGTCGATGTAAACCAAACTGCAAAATTAACAGTGAAAATAAAAATATGAAACAAAACTGAAACTTCTAATTACCGTGTCCGGCTTGCGACCATTAAAACTATCCTCTTGCACCCGAATTGTAAATGATCTATATTTATAGGTATCATACCTTCATCCGTAGACTTGTATTTCTGTCGTGGAGTGAGGTAGAATACATTGTTTTCTAAAGTCTCCCACTAACTCTTCCAAATTCAACTCAGGGGAAAAAAGGCTCCTTAGAGAAAGTATTTTGCGTTAGGAAAATTTCGTCGTCACTATCCATTGCCGCTCTCACAAGTGTACTGGCCCCCCCAAAAAATACCAGGACAAAAATAAAAAAAAACACAAAAGATTTGAAATTTGATTGTTGTCGGCTTAGCAAACAAACAATGCGCTATTGTTCTCCGTTTCTCACCTAAGTGAGAACAAGTGGTTTGAACAAATTATGACCCGTGAAACGCCCTTTCTTGATGCAGTGTGAAAACCTGTACAATACTTACAATGAAATACGTCATTGTCTGCGGTCGGATCAAAAAATGACAAACAAACAGAGGTCAAAAACAAGTGGCCAATTATTGCCTTGTGAAAGACGACCTTTATGTAACCTATACCTCATGAATAATATCATGAAATAAGTTAGATAAACCCCTCGAACGTCGGTATTAATCCATATACATCCCTCGGGCCTACGCCCTCGGGATGTATATGGCTTAATACCTCCGTTCTCGGGCTTTATCTCTTACATACTCTTACTGACAAACTCTCGTTTTTTCCGTCTGCATGTCCGTTTAAATTTCTTCTTTTTGTCATGTAAAAGGTGCCTCAGCTGGGAATTATCTGGCTCCTGAGAAATTTGTTCCCCAAGGGATTTCAGGTTTTCTTTTTCTGTTTCGCATTCCAGATCGAACCAGTTATTTTGTGACATGGCTTTAGTTTTGTTACGTCGGACTCTCAAGCCGGCTTTTTTACATGCTTCCACCAGAGTTTCACTAAAAAATTCAGCCGCAGTGTCAACATTATCGTTTCTTAATAAGGCCGCTTGTAGTTTAGACTGAACTATTTGTGATTCCAGACATTCTTTCGACTTACTCTTCAGTTTGGTATCCCATAATAGTCTATTATGTTCAGACAAGGTGCATCCGTTCGAGCAGCTAGAAGAAACTGGGCTGCCGGCTAGAATACCTTTAATAGCATAAGTCACATGACAGTGATCTGACAAATGTGGCATTAGGGGATTAACAATTAAGTATCGCACATTTTGAAGTATAGCTTTAGAGCCTGTGACATAATTCACGACACTGCTGCCATTGTAGTGAAAGCAGGTCTTTTTACCTTCCAGGTCACCAACAATATTCCCGTTGAAAGTTCGAAAACTTAATGCGATACATATTTCTAATAAGTTTCTGCCCCTGGGCCCAGTTGCTCGAAGCACGGTTAGCGTTAACCAGCGTTTAATACCTTGACAACGTATTGGTTTTGATACTGCTTAACCAATGGTTAAAGCTAACCATGCTTTGAGCAACTCAGCCCTGGAGTTTACTGTGCCGGAATCCTGCGAATGCCTAAAGAATTGGGAATCAATTTCGTAACCTTCAGGGACAGGCAAGAAAGTATTATCGTCAGTCATTAAGACTTCTTGAATATCACCTGTTCTTGCATTATAATCACCTTGTACGATAATGCCACCCTTTTACGAAAAAGAAAGCATTTCTGCTTCTATTTCCAAAATTAAAACATCGTTATTATTTCGTTCATAGTTAGGCGGGCTTAAATAGACTGTTCCTAAGTACAGATAGTTTTTAAATCCAAAATAATTTCTATCAAGTTTACACCAGATGGTGTTTTTGTTTTCTGTTAGCATGTACGAGACTCCGTTAGCGAGTTTCTGGTTTATGTACAAAGATAGACCCCCAAAAGTACGTTTTCCTGTCTTGTTTCTACATTTGACAAAATGTTTGAAGTTATTAACGGCAAGCTCTGAGTCATAAGTTGCATGCGTTTCAACGAGTGCAAAGATATCGTGCTTGTTGATAATGTTTAAAAACTCTTTTGTTTTTAGCTTGTTTCCCAATTTTCTGCTGTTGTAGCCATTAAGGTTCTGAAATCCTAATCGTAAAGGCCGTGCCATGAAAAGAAGAATACAGAAGGAAAATACTAAATAGTTTCTTATCTGATTAACCTCGGTTCACTTTCCCTTAAGTATTCTGCAAGGAGGTTAAGTGCTTGTAGTGGCTGACTGATCCTATTACTCGCTCGATGGTTGAAAGTTTGTGGTCCGGCTTGGACTCGAATCTCTCGTCGATTTCTTTCTTGCATCTAGGGATGTTGGCCGGCTCTCAAAGTTTGTGCGACGCAGTCCTAGGTGGTACTTGATGTTCGTTCTGGTAGCGATTCTGTTATTTAGATGGACATCGTCATAGAATACTTGATCATTTAAATGTCCATACATGTCGCACGTAACTCTTTTCTTGTCAATGTAAATCAGGTCCAACTTCGAACAAATACTTTCGTAGAAACAGTTAATTTCATCAATTAGTGTATTTTTAGCTTCCTCCCGAGGGGCATAGGTTAGGCTTGAGAGTACTATTCGTGCATCCGGCCAATTTTCCATGTTTTTTACTATTTCAACTGTGCTCAGATTTCCGACGTCATTTGTACCAGTGTGGATAACAATGTAATCATAATCGTTTTTCTCTTCCATGTTGTCTTTATGCTGTTTCATCTCTTTTGTTCCTCCAGCAATTGTTTGTTTATTTACATGACGATTTGGTGCAAATTTACGTTGTTGAATTCCTCTAAGGATTGAGTCGCCTAATAGTAAGACAGCACCTTTTGAAGGAGAAATGCGCTGCTGATCTTGAATTTGATTTCTACTTGATGTCGGCTGATTATTAGATTGCAGGATGGGCGGCTGCATTTCTGTCAGAGTAGAGCTTGTCGACGTAGTGGTTGGTTGATTACTGGGTTGGGAAATAATTGCTTGCGTTCCTGTAGGAGATGATTCAGTGATCGTGTGGTTTTCTTCAACTAATGATTCGTATCTATTTGATGTTACTACAGAGAACGTATACCACTCATTTGTGGTTGCCGCATCTTCTTGTGTTGTTAATGGAGGATTTTGCGGGCTATTTAGTATCGGAGATGAGCTAACATTATCTTGCATGTGAGCGAGAAGCGATTGTTCCGTCATACAGACTTGACTCCTAATCTCATCCAGTTGTTGTAAGATAAGTTTTATTGACTCCCCTGTTGATGAAGTTTTAGTCCTGAGTGCCTTAAACTCGGACGATAGTTTTGAACTTAGATTTGCAATCTGTTTGGCCAATTTTTGTACCTCGTTACCGATTTCTAACTTCACTGCTTGGATGCTTTCTTCGCAAGAGAGTTTCACTTCTTTTGTACCGTTCTTGCACTTTTGTTCTAGATCTTTCAACTCAATTGCACACTCGCTTATTTCGATACAGTTTGTCAAAATCTGGCTCTCAATGTTATGGTTAAAGTCGCGTTGCGTTTTCATAAAAAATTCAAATTCTTCATAACGATCATAGTGTAGGGATTTTAGATTTGACATTACGCCTATTTCACTTGTATCTTCTACATTTTTAGCGTTAATTGTTTATTCGTTTAAAGTGTGTTGATCCTGCTCTTTATATGTGATGCCATTCTCTCTGATATCCTTCAGTTTTTTGACGTAGTGATCTTTCGATGCGCCTTGTATTTGGAGTGTCTTGACCAAATTCACAGTCATATGAGTCGATTCGCCCTTTATCCACCCTCGCAATCCGCTTACCGAAAGGGTCACAGCACAGAAACAGCGCTACTGAAGCTACAAAATGACATTCTCATGAATATGAATTGCAAGCATGTAACTCTTCTAGTTCTCGTAGATTTGAGCGCAGCGTTTGACACTGTTGACCACAATATCCTGCTTGTTCGTCTTAAGTCAAGTATCGGCATTAATGGCACCGCCCTTAATTGGTTTACGTCTTATCTTAACAACAGGTCGCAACGAATCTCGCTAAATGACTTTACATCTGACAGTTTTAAGCTTCCTTATGGCGTTCCACAAGGATCGTGTCTGGGGCCATTGTTGTTTACCATTTATTCCAGGAAACTGTTCGAAGTCATCAAAAACCATCTACCTGAAGCACATGCCTATGCTGATGACACTCAGCTTTACCTGTCGTTTAGTCCTGACACGGCTACTAATCAGACTGATGCGGTCATTGCCATGGAACGCTGTATGTCGGACATTCGTACGTGGATGCTTACGGATAAGCTCAAACTTAATGATGACAAAACTGAGTTCATGTTGATTGGTACAAAACAACAACTTTCCAAAGTAAATGTTGATTGCCTTACTAGGAAGCATTGGCGTTGCTCCTGTTACTGTGGCAAGAAATTTAGGGACATGGTTCGATTGTAACTTAAATCTCCAGGAACAGATCCACAAAACTTGTAAATCTCGGTTTTTCCATTTATACAATATTCAGCGTATCCGAAAATATCTGTCCCAGGAGTCTGCACGAACTTTGGTCCATGCTTTTATCATTGGTCGTATAGATTACTGCAACAGCCTTCTATCTGGTTTACCCTCTGTTCATCTACTTGACCTACAACGCTTGCAGAATGCAGCTGCTCAGCTTATATCTAATGTCCCTCGCTACAGTCACATAACACCAGTACTATGTTCGTTACATTCGCTTCCTGTCAAATTTCGTATTGATTTTAAAATACTTCTTTTTACTTTTAAAGCTATCTACGGTCATGCGCCTGGTTACTTGATCGATTTGATTGCTATTAAAGAACAGCCGCGCTATAATCTCCGTTCAGCTAGCGGTCTTATCTTAAAGTATCCTAGTTTAAAACTGAAGAAGACTTTAGGGGATCGTGCTTTTTCACATCTGCTACCCCTAATTTATGGAACAATCTGCCCCTTCACATTCGTCTTGAGGACAATTTTGAACGTTTTAAATCTTTACTTAAAACGCATCTTTTTAGACTAGCTTTTGATATGTAATTTTTTTAACGTACTATGTAATATATTTACACTACTAGGAGTATGTATGTGAAACACCATGTGAAAAACGTGTGAAAAATGTCCTGTTTTCACACTCTTTTCACACATTTTTCACACGTTTTTCACACACTTTTCACATGCATTTCAGAGACATATTTCACGTGCATGTGAAATTTTGCATAGTGAAATATATGTGAAAAGGATGTGAAGCGACGTCATCCCTTTCACACATATTTTCACATACACTTCACATGGGGTTTCACACAGGCTTTCACATGTAAAACCTCATTTAAATTCACACATATTTTCATACACTTCACATGGGGTTTCACATGGGCTTTCACATGTACTTAATCCTAAATGAATGGCAAAACATCTAGAATTTCACATGCTACTAATTCACACATTATTTTCACATACACTTCACATGGGGTTTCACATGAGCTTTCACATGTAAATCCTCAGAGATCGGAGATCATGAATGGCAATAGAATTTCACTACCCTGCGAGCAGAGGTTTGTTTACACGTAAACAAACCAACTACGCGACAGGCAAGCCACCCAAACGACTTCGTAAACGGCTGTGACAATCGAGATTGTTTGTCACAAGCTAATTGTTGTGACCAGCGCAGGCAGAGATATACAGTCGAGTAGCCGCCAGAACTCTAGTCTCCGGCTTGTTTTGAAACCCCTGTGTATTTACTAATAATTAATACAGTTATTGACTGAGAGATCTGGTTGCAAGCTAGATCATGAAAAGAGCTTTGAACGTAAATTCCAGTCCGCTGCTTTACAAGAGGGCCCTTCTGGGGCGTGGCACTTTGGTATATTGGGGTTCGCCTTTAATGGTGATGATGATGATGATGATGATTTGCAACAGCACGTTTGTTGTGATCACTTGCCTTAAAGGTCCGACGCATTAAAGTATAGTGAATTCTCTAGGCTAGTAACTTATCAAATCTTATTCTTCAAAAATTCATGACCCTCATAGTCAACTTAGTTTGATATTTATCAGCTATGAGCCATAGAATGCTAGATGTAGCATGGCATGAAATTTAATTTTTGCAGTTTTTATGAGCCATGAAATGCCTTTCATGGGGTATTCACTAGAAATTCATGGCATTTTCACAAAAATATGGTTCGTAGTGGTTGCATTTAACAAGCCCTGAAAAAAATTCACATGCTCACTCTGACATGCCTAAAAGTGTTCTCATGCATGTGAAAAATTTCACATGCATAGCATCTATTATGCATGTGAAATTTGAAGTTCACATGCATGACAAAAGTGTTTTACATGTATGAAAAGATTTCACATGAAATAAAATGCATGTGAAAAAAGTTCACACATATGAGAAAAATTTTTCACATGTATTACAAAATTTCACACGGATGTCAAAAAGTTCACATGCATGTGAAATGCTGATGTGGTGAACTTGTATTTTTTCCAACATTGATTTCACATGGTTCCTTTTTTTCACACACTTTTCACACCCTTTTCACACGATTTTCACACACATAGCCCTAGTAGTGTTAGTGTTTTTTATCTTTATTTAATTTTTAGCGTTGTTTATTCTTAGCCTTAATTATTTTGCTCATTTTAGCTTTCATTTTCTTTTAACATTTACGTTTTGTCATGTGCTTTTGATCATATTTGTATGTAATTATCCTTCCTCATACTTGATAGTTAATAAATATTATCATTATCATATTGATTATCATTGTACTGATTGTCAATGTATAAAAACGTATTGTTGTTGTTATTATTATTATTGTTACTATTATTACTTATTCTAGTGGTGTTTTTTTATTTTTTTTTATTATTATTATTTTTGTTTTTATAGGAGGGCCCAGTAAACCAAGATCAAGATGTCTTGTAAGCCTTTTGAACCATTTAATGATGTTTTATAAAGCACCAGTCCATTAAAAGTGAAAGTGAAAACAAAGCAAACGTCTTTTCCTCAGGGAAAATCCTACAAGTTGTCATTTTGAATTGGATGTACTTGCAATTATTTGGCGAATTACGTATATTTATGATGTTGTGGAAAACGGACCTCTATTAAATGAACATACATGTAGTATAGCGAAGATCCATGTTTTTCCGGTTACCCTCGAGCATATGCAACGGGGACACTGTTGTTGCTGTTGTTGTTTGTTTTAAATGTTTAAGGCTCAAAAATCCCCTTCTGATAAATTGTTTACTAGTTACAATTTGATAACAAACATTTTTCCAAAAATTATTGAATATCGGTTTCTTCTGACAACAGGTGAGGGTAGGCCAGATTTAACAAGCAATTTATGACCAAGAATACAAACTAAGTCTTTTCTCTTTGCAGAATTGTAAAACAACATTAAAAGCAGTGTAATGTTAATGTTATTGTAAAATCGCTATTTATAAATGTTATTTGTAAAAGTCAGAATTTCCAGTAAAATCTATAAAGTTGGTGGTCATTCTGAATGATTTTCCCTTCTCCACCACATCACGCAATTTTATGTCGTCAAAGCCCGTTTGAGTTAAAACCCATGAGGTTCCTTAGCCCTCGCCCACCGGAACACGGTTACCACACTCAATTAACATCACCTTCCAATATTTTTCACGTAGAGGAAAGTTGTGCTTGGTTTTAATACCTTTTGTTTTAATCCCTTTAACATACTTGTTAAAATAAATGTTATTTTTCAGGGAACATTGGATATGAGGTTTACAAAGGTATTATGGGAGAAGAATTGTTCAAAAAGAAGATTGAAGAGTTTGAAAAGGTAATTAAGCATTGTTTATTTTAATAAGAAAACTGTAAGAAAGTGTGACAGTTAAATATACAACTATTGTTAGAGGGCTTTCAAAGAGAGAGTCTCAAAACTAACGACACATAAATAAATGATAACAATTGGTAACAATGATCATCCTCTGAAAGGTAAAGTCCCTGCCAAGCTATATGCCTGGGAAATCCCTTTTTTTACTGTAATACCTTACTCTACTTTACTCTGCGTTTGAAAGTGGCTTTTTTAAATTTTCATGCCTGTTGACATGTATTCTGGTTTGTTTGTAGCTTTCTTCATGCAGTCAATTATGTAGAGTTATTTCACGGACAACAGTAAATCACTCTTTGTTGGCCATTTACTACCTTTTCAGCCTCTCCCATCGCCTGGACTTTTCGATTCTGCAAGAATAGCTTTTGAAACGAAAAAACTCCAGATGATTTTTGGGTTGAAGCCTATAATTAAGGCACAGAGGGGTACGCACCCAGGTGGCGACGGGAGCGAAGGCATCGCCACAATGCACTGATCCCAAGTTTCCTGCTTGTGAATTCTTCACCCCTGGCCATTTTTATCCAGTCTGCTTGCGTCACTCAACTAGCCAATCCATAGATGACGCAGAGATCGACATCTTCGGCGGAGCGTTGAGATTTGCTGGAAGTGAAGATGAAGAAAGCCCATTGGATCTTGTTCTGGGTACTGGAGAGATGACTCCGCTGTGGAGCACTAAAGCAATTATGGAGGCTGTGACAGGTCGAGTTTCAGGAGATTTGAAAACTTACCTTCTACTAAGCCCGGATCAGTAAGTAATAAGAAACATATTTCAGTTCTATAAGTAGATCTTTAGTAGCTGCGAGACTCTTTCGCACTTATGTGAGGATCTGTCGCTTGTCGGTTAAAATTTAGTTACTTTGTCGGTAGTCGGTTAAAATTTTTGATCTTTGTCGGTTGTCGGTTAATCTCAGTTAATAAGTAAAAATGCATGTTAATTATTAATATTTGTTATGCGTTTCACTCAGTTTCAAGACTTTGATCCCTATAGAACATGTAAAAATTGTAAAAATGCATCATTTGATTGAACTTAAACTTCATTATGCAACATGATAGTGTCTTTCACCAAAGCTTTTATTGCAAATGCGAACTTGGTTTCCCTGTTGATTACAGGGCACCACAAAAAGTAATGAAGAGAGGTTAATCGGACAGAGAGGGAAACGCCCACTCTAACCTTTTAGATACGTAAATTATTTTTGGTGAGAAACTGCAAGGGGTGACAGGTTGCACATCTATGCGTGAAAACCGTGTGTTGACCTTTAATATTTTGACTCTAACAAGCATATTCTTTGCCATGGTTTTCCTTTCTCGTAGGAAATAAGGGGTGGTTCTTTAAAAAATTAGCAAAGTAGAGGTTGGTTTTGTATGAGATTCCACTTTTCCATTTTACGGTAGACACTAAGGGCTGGTATTGTGTCACGAAAGGCAACATTTCTCTTTCTTCCTTGCTCGGTTTTGTTTCAGGAGCGCGGACTTCGGTTTCTGTGAGTTTCGTTTATTTCTGATTGCAATTTGTCTTTTAAATTGTGGTGGTAGCCTCTGTTCATCATCAACCATCAAGCGTTCTTTTGAAATTTGAAACACTTTCCTCAAACTCTTTTGACAAATCGGCGGGTGACAAGCCGCAAAATGTGTGCTGGAAGGTTTCCGTAGTCTTTACATCAAGGATAACGTTTTCGTTTAATTTTGTGCCTTTGTATACAATTGTGTCTAAAAACATTGTCTCAGTGAATTTCGGTGGTGAATTTAATAGTAGGATCATGTAAGTTTGCTTCTTCGAAGAAAGTTACGATGTCTGGTCTAAAGACGGTTTAGCTTAGACTTCGTGTTTAATATATGACATGAAAATATTGGCAGAGAAAACTGGTGTCTTTGTGCCCATCGCGGTACGGTGGATTTGTAGGTAGAGCTTTCCACTGAACTGGACAGAATTTTCTTTGAGGATTAATCTAATCATTTCCCGCATTTAATGTGTAGGACTAGGCGGGTTGTAGAAATGTTTGGCATACGCTCTGCAAACCGATTTCAATATCCTCGTCTTGTGGTATTTTTGTAAACAGACTTGTGACATGATATGTTTGGTTACTTCCTAGAAAGGTAGAAAAAAATACAATATACTTTTCTTTCTGAAAAAAATATAGATAATGTCGGTCCATGTCGGTAATCGGTTAATAATTTTCCTGTCGGTAGTCGGTAATTTTTTTCGCGTTTTGTCGGTAGTCGGTAATGTTTTTTGCCGTTTGTCGCTAGTCGGTTAACCCCATTCATAACCTTCACACCCTCTTATGTCCTTTAGTCTACAAATAGCTTTGAGCATTTGTGAGGAAATTTCGGTAAAACTTTTTTCAACAAATAGTACTGGTATTGTTTTGGCACCCAAAATAGGATGGCAGAATGGCTGGACATTTACGCATAATAATGAGCTACCGTGGCGGGCTGTTCAAGCATGAACGTCGCACAAAAGCGCCACAATAAGAGAGAAAAGGGAGGAATTTTTGCGAAGATCACTAACTAAAATCGTCATTTTAAATACTTATAGTCTACTTTTTTAAGATAAAACAGCGGCTTTTAGTAGTTAAAGGGCTAATCTTTAGCGTTACGTAAAAACCAGGAAAATTTAACGAGAACAACTTGTAGACTTTTTGCTTTCAAAATTCTGTTTTTTCGGCATTTCTAGTATGGGTGAAGAGCGCATTAAGATTTCGTTTGGATTTTTTTGGTCCAAATAAGCGACAAACTATGTATAAAACGACGGATTATCGAAGATTCACATCTCCCATACACATTGACAGCTTTTTCGCCTAAATTTAAGCAGAAGAAGTTGTAGACTTTTACCCTTAAAAATCCGAGGTTCAAAATCCGTGCGTGTTCAGAGTCAAGTCTTTGTCTTACAGTATAACAATGGTTGCCATGAACAAACAATAAGCAGCTAAACTCCATTGATAATATATAGATTTAGCCAGGGCTAAAAGCGAAGCTCCCGTTAATAAATTCATAATTTAAATCAAACAATAAACTTGTAATCCACAGATCAGGGCACATTCATTTGACTTTTGAGGCAAAGGCTAAGTGGTTTTAGAGAAAAATAATTTGACAGTCCAAGAGTGAAACAAATTTTACATCGAGTTGTACACCCAAAAGTAGCAATCATGTTCGATCACAGTAGATTAGGCCTGGAAAACAAATAGACCTATTCGTGTATTGTATTTGCATTAGCTGTTGCATCATAATGTGGCATTCACCAGTCTCTCCAACATTGCTCCGTTAGAGAGACTATGGATAATTGGACAACCCCGAAATATAAACACGCGCCACGATAGTCCTTGGTAGCAGCCAATTTACACATTGCATTCCTCTGTCTAAAAGAGAGGCCAAAATAAAAAATCAGCCCGGATTTTTTGTATTCGACAAGGTTAGGTTACTAGTAAATCTTGGCGACGAATCTGGTGGCGTGTAAACCAACCTTTTAAACATACTTTTTCTCATCACGTCTCAGGTAAACTACTATCACGCCCTTTTTTTATCATACAGACCTCGGACAGAAATTGTTCTTTTTTGCCCTATTTAAACCTATAATTCTGCAGTTTTTCACAATTTTGAAAGAGAATTTGCACTCATTCAATATCCACGACGATCAAGGCACGCGCTTCCTTTGCACAACAAATTATAGCATTGAGTTATAAAACGTTTTCATGAAGAGAATTCTATAATGCCGGGACTTTTCAGTTAGAAAAATCTGGTCCTATGTGATATGCCGGGTAATAATTATGGGCTTTTAATGAAAACGATAAAAGAAATTCCCAAAATCACTTCACGGCCAGCCGGACGGGTTCTCACTTTTCACAGGCACCAAATTTGCAGGGCGGTTAATAGAGTTACCATTTACGCTTCAACATGATAGAGAAATTGTTATGTTTAGGTTTTATTTCCCTTTATTTCTTAAACTGTGTATGGTTTTGTTATGTGTAATCTTTAAAAGCGAGTGATATTTCCGGGGGTACTTTAGGAATTTCTGTGTGGGATGTGCCGCTGGGACCCTGGAACCCTTAACCTATACCAGAGCTAGTTCAGCTGAATTTTGCTACCCTATGCTAGAGTAAACTCCCCAAATCCCCCTATCCTAGAGTAGCTGTTTACCTAGTCTAGACAAAATCTTCAACCAACTGATCAGTTTCCTGAAAAATGATACCCTATTCTAGACCCAAACGCTCTGATTTATATACCCTATCCTAGAGTAAACCGCTTGAAAACCATACCCTTCACAGCGGCACATACCTATATAACCCATATATGGCAGTACCCCCCCGGGGTGATATCTACGCGCGGCGTTTTGAGTATTCCTGCATGCGATGTTTATGTTCGACAGGAATATAATTCGGTGAAACACGTACAGAGACAATAATTTTCATTCACGAAGAGAAGTGTTGAGAGTAAAGTGTCTCTGAAAATCATGAGTCAGGTAAGTATAAGCTTATTTACGTTTTAAGCGGGCTTCCTGGTGTTTGCTCTTTTTCAAGATGAACTCGAGGCAAGAAAATCGCTCAGAGCTTTCTGTTTACAGTCAAAATCATCACTAAATAATCTTCGGTACCTTTTCTTTGAATTTGAGGTCAAAAAATGTCTAAAGGCTTTTTTTAAACCAGATACTATTGTAGGTTGCTCGTGTATAAACTTAAGCCGCATAAACCATACGCTCGACTTCAGGAAATCGAAAAAAAAAAAACACATCATGGACAATAATTGCTCAGGCTTACCAGTCGAGATGCTGCTTCTGAAGGTCATCAAGTGTTCCAGAATCGCTTGAGACTTTTCAACCCTCTTATGCCTCAAGCAAGGGCAAGTGAGTAAGCTCATTTTTGAAAACGATGCCATCCGAAATCGGATTTCCAATGACTTTGACAAGCGGTGCATTTGTACGCCACGTCATAACCAAATTTTCTCGAATGGATAGTTTACCAAATTTTCTTACCCATGGTGCTCCGCTGCGCGCTCGAGAGAGCTCCGCTATAAACTAAATGTAGTCATCTGTAAACAGGGTGTTTATATAAATCGGCTGATTACTAAGGGCTTTCGAGGCGCGAAGTTTGAATTCTGATCGACACTGCTGGCTTGCGTTTACGTTCGTAAAGTTTCAGTTTACCGGATAATGGCTAACACCGCGAAAGCAAATGGCTTGGACCAGGAGCTCTTTTCAGAGCTCGTAGAACCCCTGGTCCAACCTTTGCTAATACATATATGGTTGCACTATTTGTAAACGGCGACGACAAGAACTTTTTCCTGCAAGTAAATGGGAAAATTTTGCGGGAATGGAAGAAGTTGGAAGGAAATTTAAAAAAACTGTTTGCGGCCCTCCAAGCAAACTTACGTTCCATTGGATACACACTGGAGGAATCAGCCTTCGATCGCGTAGCCAGAACGAACGAATAACTGCACGAGCAGTGACTGTAACCAGCCACAACTAAAATTCGACATGCGAACACTGAATCCCCTTTGTCGAATTTTCTTATGATTGCTACTCGGATCGCTAATCTTTGCTTTTCAGGGCTTTAGTCAGTTTGAGCTCTGTTCAGGAATATAACTTACTTACCCGCCCGCCTTTTTGGTTTGTATAAGAGCTAAAACCCTTTCAAATACAGAAGTAAAACATTACAGACCATTACTCTGAGCGTCGGCTTCTGTACGCTAAACACTCAATACAGAGTCTATACAGTGTATTTGTTTACGACACAATCAAGATCTCGCTCGCGCAAAGATAATTCGACATTTCATCATTCGTTCTGAGGTTTAACTTTTTTTACCAAATAAACATTAAAGCAAAAGCGAGTTTTTAAAATGTGGCTGCGAAATATGCGCATATGTGCGATTTGCGAATAAAAGGAGAAACAATAGCGAACTGCCCCCTTTGTTTGGTTTGCCGCCTACATCATATTTAAATGAGCATCCAAATGCGTTCAAGGCAACCAATAGTTGAGGCGCTTTCATAGCGTCCACGCATGATATGACAGATCTACAAACTTTGTTGAACTGGAAGTAAATGTCCCGAGAACAATAGGCATTCTGCGCGATGAAAAAAAAAAAAAAAAAAAGGTAAATTTTTCGCTTTCGCTCGGGTGGAGGCCTGGCATTTGTAATCCACGTGCAACAATGGTACAGGAAATTTTCGGTCGTTTCAGTAAAACTGAGAAAAGTTAATAATTCCTTGGAAGATTGTACTTTTTATTTTTTTCCGAAATATTTCTACCGTGATGGACCGTTTCATTGGCCTTCTCACATGAAATACCGGGTTTTCTATACCAATCAAAAGTGCTCACTGATATTTTTTTATTTTGCTCTTGCAAAACGTAGTCTTAAAGCCAACATGGATGGTCTCCGCCAAAAACCTGATTCATTTTACCACCTGCGGTATCATTCTCAAGTGATCTTCGGTTTTAAAGCGTTTGATGGCGTCAAACGTTATGCAAGATTTCGACTGATCCCAGCTGACGGATCACCGGAAACGGGTTTGTTATCTGAAGATGTCCAGTGGCATCCTTGGTGAGTTTATAAAACACTATAGACCTCTAGCGATATCCTTACAGTTTATTCAGCTGTTTGTTCTTTCTCGCAGCAAGCATTCGAAAATTTGGCCTCATTCAAAGTGTCCTGTTGCCGTCGTACTTATAGCCTTAAATTCAGATCAGCTTATTTAAACCAATGTTTTTTTGGACAGCCTATGTATATGTTGTGGTTCAATTTTATCCTTGGTTTAAATTTTGTTCTCCTTTGTTTTTAATTATGGTAATGAAAGATAATGAGTTTGAAACAAAGGAAAATGAAATTTGTACCAAGGATATAATTGAACCACAACAAATACACCCTTCTCCTCCCCTCTTCCGCAACAGGACGGGAGATCAAAGAAGACGGCAAACCCTGTGTGACAAGGGTGACAACAGTTTTGTTTGAAGAAAAAAAATTGCTCCAAACCTCATCTTCCTTTAAACAGATCTTTTTTTGTAAAAGACCAGAAAACATTAATGTTAAGTGAAGATCACGATGAAACACGCAAATAATTGGATCCAATTGCGGAATTATTTTTCTTTTTGCGGAATTATTTTTCTCTCTTTCCTTATTCTTGAAAGTTTTATCCGTACGCAGGGGTTATTCCTTTATCTAGATCTATTCGATAAGGGACCTCTGGAACCAGAGCCTCTGTAAGAAATAAATAGTTATGTTGAAGTATGACTTACTGACCATACTATAACATGTTCATTGCTCCCCGCCGAAAATAGGGATAACCAAAGATTGCCGACCGATACCATGCCCCTAGATTACCTTAAACGTGAGTATAAAGAGCGAATTAACAAGGGACCTATTGAATACAAACTCCAAGTGCAACTCCACGAAGCTAAGCCCGATGACTCGCATCTGATACTTCATATCGGGAGGAGATGGGATGAGAGTTCACATCCATGGCTGGATGTGGCTGACCTAAAAATGACCACGCTGCTGTCTCCAAAAGCAACGGAGCGTCTAAAGTACATTTATTACCACCTTCCACCCTCTATCGACTTGTTGCCAGCCCAGTCTGTTGACGATCCCAATGTTATTCTTCATGTCCGCCAGTCGGTGTACGCTTGGTCTCAGAAGCTGCGCTCCATGAGATCAAATAAGAACGTCCCAGATCATATGGCATCGTATCTCATCCGAGTGGAAACTGGGAACCAGTCAGGGGCTAGTACAGATGCTTCGATAACTGTCTCCCTGATAGGTAAACCCATCCATTTCTTGAAATTTTTACTATAAGGAGGCTTTAAGGCGCATTTGGTCCGAGGTTAGTAAAAGCTTCCGACAAAATGTATCTGGACAACAACATCAGTCATAAACAAGCAAAAAATAATAACAACAGCAACAACGTTAAGAAAGGAAAGTAAATTTTAACCCAAGTATCAAAAAGAACAACAACATACATTATACTTTGGGTTGGTTGGAGATTGCAATGAACCCTTCCCAAATGTTATATGACATGCCTCTGTAGGATGACAAAGATGCTTTCAAGTATTAAACTTAGGTCTTAGTACATAGTTTTTTTTTACCTCTTTTTTTTTCCCATGTCGTAGGAACCAAAGGGAAAACAGATATGATTAACTTAGACAACTGGGGCAATGACTTTGAAAGAGGAGATGTTAATGAATATTCAGTAGAGGCCATGGATGTTGGTGAGGTCTTGATGATCCATCTTCACAACAATGGTGGCGGCTGGTGGTACAAAAATCCTGATTGGTTTGTAAACAGAATCTCAGTGATAAGTTCCAGTCAACAGAATCCTTTCGAGTTTCCTTGTTACCGCTGGGTGCTGTCGGATTTGGTTGTATTTGAAGGAAAAGGTAACAAGACCTTGGTTTTGCTAGAATATTGATCATATTTATCAATACAAAGTGGTAATGCGCGACTGGAGACGCAGTCGCCTATTACCACCGTTCTGGACGTTTTATACGTTTAGCACTTAATTGGACTCGAAATCTAAAATATATTTTTTTATTGTTATTCCTGAGAGGTTAATGCATAAGCCTCGCTTTCTCGCTCTCCCTCTCTTTCCCTTAGCTATTCTTCCATTCCAAGATCAACCAGAAGTTGTGAAAAATCAACGAAAGCTAGAATTGCAGCAGCGCCAAGAGTGCTACAAGTGGGGAACATTTGCGGGCTGGGAAGGCCTTCCGAGACATCTGGAAGCTGCCCAGCACTCTGACATCCCAAGAGATTCACAGTTCTCACAAGAGGCCAGAAATTCCATTGATGAAGATACAAAGAAGGCGGTTATAGATCTTGGTCTTGCTCACCTGTCAACAGTCTTCGAAAGCTGGGATAACTTCGACGACTTTCAAAAGATTGTCGGTTGGTTCTATGGAGGAGGACAACGACTTGTTGATGGCGACCGATGGATGACCGACAGTGTATACGGATCGATGTTTCTGAATGGTTGCAATTCCAGTGTTGTCGAGCGTTGTGAGAAATTACCAAACCATTTTCCAGTTACTGATGAGCACGTGAAGGGTGCTCTCGATCGTGGGCTATCGTTGCAACAGGAAATGAAGGTATGAAAATGGCACATCCAGTGTAGATAATAGAGACCTTTACATTCCAAGACGAGTACGACTACGAGTAGAGATTTTCTTAATACAGACTCAGTAGTGCGCACGCGTAAACCAACGTCAGTTTGGCGGGAAAAAGTGGTAGCCGTTGTCATTCTACTACGAGTTTTAGCGAGATGTCGAAGAGGCGGAAACGATATATCAAATGTTAGAAGTTTTATCATTTTGCGATCAGGAGAGCGCGTAAACCTCCTTCACTGAAGATAACGGTGCTAACTTTTCTAATGAACAATGGTAAAATGAAGCTCTCTGGGAAGACCATATTTTCAGAATACGCGAAAATCTTTAACTAAAAGTCTCGTACTCGCAGTCGTCCTCGTCCTCGAATGTAAAGGTCTCTAATACGTAAAACCCGCTTGGGCATCTTCTTCTTCTGTACTGTTTGAAAATTACATACATAAACATCAAAGTGCATTCCAAAACTCTCCGCAGAGCTTCAAAAAGCCTCTGAACAGTCGTTGTGCCGTCTTTTTGCCGGCCTTAATGAAAATGAGGGGGCTGGAGGGGGTGGGGTGGCTCAGGACGTTTCTTTGCAAAACTCTAAGAGAAGATACGAAATGAATGAATAGATTAATAACTTCATTTTGACTTTATTTTGACAATTGTTTTAAAGTCGTCGAAGTTGGATTTTCGTTAGAAAAGATTATATCCAAACATAACTTTCCATACAAACGATCTCTTCACATTTACAATCAATCAACTGTGTAAAAAAGAACTGGAAGGTCTAGCGGAAACGTGACAAAGGCCTTAATCGTCGCCTTTGCCCGTTGAATTTTCTAAATAATCGCTTTTAAGCTTGGAAACAGAATTTAAACGAACAATTGCGACGGATGCAGTGCGTAAGCGACAAATGAATCAGCCTTTTTAAAATGTCCAAATTGATCTATTAATGTTTTCTATTACGGAAATAGGAAGGTCACGTATACATCGTGGATTACAAAGTGCTGGAAGGTATTGATGCGCCGTCCGGGGAAACCATCTACACTGCACATCCCCTGGGACTCTTTTACGTGAAACGCTCTGGGGACCTAGTTCCTATTGCTATTCAGTTGTTTCAGCAACCCAGTGATACCAACCCAATATGGACCCCTGGTGATTCCAAATATGATTGGTTGTTAGCAAAGATGTGGCTTCGGTACGCTGACTTTAGAGTACAGCAGGTAAGTAGTGGAAAAATAGGATCAAGTTAGGTTTCTGAGAAACTGCCCACCTACCCCTCCCCTAAGCCAACATTTTGCCCGAAGTGAGAAGTAAGTGTTAATGTTAGCTTAGGGGGGGAGGGGGGGGACCTAAATTGGTCCGAAATATATGTAAAGAGGATATCGCAGCTACATAATATACCCAGGATGGATGAAGATGAAACAATTAATTCATGAATTTAATATTGAAACTGCGGGATGAAGAAATAAATGTTAAATATAAGATCATCGCAGCTACAGACCCAACTTATGTAGTTGCGAAACGAAAGTTTGAAAAATTCAGGCTTGCTTGGATTCCAACCGTCTGACCTCTACGATACCGGTGCAGCGCTCTACTGAGCCAATTCAGCTAACAAAACAACTGGCAGCTGGTCATTGAATTGGTTCGTTATAAAACCGTGAAAGATGAGGACGAAATAACGAATATATATATTTCATATATTGGAACTGCGGGATAAAGAAATAATGCAAGGGATATAATCGTAGTTAAAGACGCAATGGTAGCTGGTTCGTAAATGTCCAAGCCTCCTTTAATGTAGGCAGCAATTTAATTTCGCTCAAAAATAGTCGAGTAACCTAGCACTAGTTACTGTAAAACTAATCAGCCTGTGAGCAATCTCTCCTTCTCGAGAGAACGCGCAAGCGAGTGGCAAGCAGTAAAGCATATGAGTGAAAAATAAACTAATTCTAGTGTTCGTAACAGAGTAGACAGGAAATTTTAGTATGGTGCTATCAAACGTTCTCTACTGTTTCATTTTCCCGAAGGCAAACACTAATGGTCTCCAGACCCATATGGTTATGGAGCCATTTGCCGTGGCGGCATGGCGCCAATTGCCCTCAGTTCACCCTACTTCTACTACTTCTACTATATTACTTCGCAAAGCCTGTACAGCATCACGCGAAGGATCCGTATATCAAGGTTGACCACAACACCGGGGTCTACGACCCCTACTCTTTACGAACAGTGTGTGGGTTCTTTAACGTCCCACAGTATTAATATAGGCAAGGATTGTGAGACGGGGCCTACGGTTTTTCGTCCTTATCCGAGAAGACTAGAAAGTCTAACCATTTGCAGATGTCATTACAAAGGCAGCACTTTCTTCTCAGTTCTTGTTAAGACCCTGAGTGTTGGTCCGGCCGGGGCTTGAACCCGCGACCTCCCGCTCAACAGACCGGTGCTCTCCCAACTGAGCTAACCAGGCAGCGGTCTTCAAAATCATCTTCCCTCATCTTCGCACCGTGATGGCCGTTAACAATTTTATCAGGCATAACCTTGGTAACAAACAAGACGTGATGCAGCTTTTGAGGAAGGGCTACAACTCATTTAAGTTTAGCATGCTTTCACTGCCTGAAGTTCTTTCCAAGAAAGGAGTGGACGATGCTACTAAACTACCCAAGTATTTTTATAGGTAAGAGGAGTATTTTTATGCCAGACACAAAACTTGTACGGATATTGTACAGTCCAAGGATGCAAGACTTGATGTAGACATTCCTATCGTTTGCGTGGAACTTTTCATTAGATGAACCACACTGAGTGGATTAAGTTCATAAAAAAGTATGACGTCTGTTTCAGTTAAGTTCGTCTGAAGGAGTTTGAATCGATAAACACGTTCTATCCGTCTTCGTCAGATAATGATCTCTGATTTGTTCAGACGAGCTTAACTTAATTTAGGTCGACCCAAATTCCAGTTTGGTTTGTCTCATGAAAAGTTCAACATTTGGCCTTGGCTTATTAAGTAACATAGAAGTGCTTTACTTACTTTCCTTTCGATGATTAAACTATTTTTGAATTATCATCATTCTGTTGTCAGAGATGACGCTCTTCGTTTATGGAAGGCAATTTTAGCTTTTATCCAAGAAGTCATTGTCATACACTACAAGACAGATAATGATGTTGTCAAGGACACTGAGCTTCAAGCCTGGTTACAAGATGCACAGGAGAATGGCTTTCCTCTCGGAGAAAGAGGCATCAAGGGTGATCACGAGCTTCCAAAAAGCCTTGCAACAATCGACCAACTTGTTCACGTTCTTACCTGCATAGTATTCACGTGTTCGTGCCAGCAGGCTGCAGTGAACTTTGGACTTATGGATGTTGCAGGTTTTATTCCCAATACTCCTCATCTGATGCGTCGCCCGCCTCCAACCAAGAAAAACGAAGCTTCTCTGGAATCCATCATGAAGACGCTCCCAAACAAGTCTCAGGCTGCCCATCAAATTGCTTTCTTGTATGTGACAACTAAATTTGCCGAAGATGAGGTAAGCCACTGAACCCTTGTTCAAACATTACCAGTAAATACGTTACGTCCGGCCTACAAAGAATGTGTGGAGAGATGGACTCTTTTTTTTTTTTTACAACAGTGAACATGATCCCTCCCTCGTGTTTGCTCACTATGCAAGAGGTAGACTGCAAAACAGTCGGTATTTTTGCGCGAGGAGTCAAACAAAAGGTCTGGACCGAGGCTGAAAACAGAGAGCCAGACGGGGCAGAGACCCTAAAAATACTATCGCCTCACACGCCCTACGGGCATGTGAGGCTCGCTCGCCTCGCGCTTAAGACTTGCGCCTCGCTTTACCGATTTCTTTACTGATTTTGAGAAAAAAACCAACTGTTTTGCAGTCTACGCAAGACGTTACCAAGATACCTTAATCCTTCAGAGGAAGTGACTTTAACAATTCGTGATCTTCAGTATGCGAACATTTAAAGATCCTTTACTTTCTGGCCCAGTTTCTTTGTCCAGTTTCTCAAGGGTTTCTTGTCATAACGGAAGAATTAAACGGAACTGGTGTAATTCTACAGAGGAAGTGACTTTAACAATTCGTGATCTTCAGTATGCGAACATTTAAAGATCCTTTACTTTCTGGCCCAGTTTCTTTGTCCAGTTTCTCAAGGGTTTCTTGTCATAACGGAAGAATTAAACGGAACTGATGTAATTCTACGACAATGTAGGTAAATGAATATGAAATGTCTCGAAAGAGAGACTATTATTAATTGTTTTCTCTCTCTTGTGTCAGCGTTTTCTTGGAGACAGCACGCACAGCCTTTTGACGGGCGATGAAGCAGAAGCTGCAATTTCCCGCTTCCAGGCCTCTCTGCAGAATATATCGGATTCAATCAAGGCTCGCAATGAATCGTTGGAGATGCCTTACATCAATCTGTTACCTGAGCGAATCCCTGATAGTATTGCTATCTAAATAAAACAAAGAAATTAGGGGCTATGGTTGACTCCTTTCTCATAAAAACTAAGGCGAAGAATAACAAAAATGATCAGAATAGTTGAAAAACTTGAGAAAGCTATCCAGACCATTATTTTGTTTGTTATCCGGGTAACGTTACCGAGAAGAAAAATCATTTTCGCTGTATTTGTGTAGAAAACCGTGTTATGGCTTTTAAGGTTAAGTTCAATGGGTGTCTTTCCTGGTTTATATTCTCATATTGGTCAGAGCTAGCAGAGTGGGTTGAAGCATAGCTTTGTGCACAGAGTGACAAGCATTTTCATGGCAAATTGGGTAGTTTTTAAAGTGGCAGTTTGATGGAAGTCTGCCTTGGTTTTCTAACTAGTTCATGTTCTTCAGTATATTGGTGAAAATATGAGTAGGGTTAGGGTTGGTGTAAAGTGTGATACAAGCATTTTAATGATAATTTGCATAATTTCTTAAGTGAAGTGTGTAATAAGGGAAGTAATTCCACTTCTAATAAAGTAGTTTGCTGTACCATCGAATCTTTGGTTTCTTCCTTTTATTTCACCTATCGTATGAAATACGGTTGAAAATCTCTAATATTAATCGGTATATTTCAAACGAGCCACACAATTCAAAATTGGCCAAATGTGCAAGAAAATAAAAAAAAACAAAAACAAAAACAAAAACACAAAAACAAACACAATTCCAAATGCCCTACCCTCTAACTTCCCATGCTTTTTCTTAAACGGACATACGTCTCTCTGTATTTCGTATTCTAACTCGAAATAAGCTCATAGAGAGTGCGCTGCAATACTCCTTTCTTTGCCAAGTAAAAAAACAATAAAAGAGAATTACAAAGTTTTCGTTTCGTTATCTGCATGGCAACGTAAAAGACGTAAATTTAACAAACCACCCGCTTAACGCTGTGTATTGTCCCATTTAAACCTATTCACACCAGGTGGGCTTTTGGTGGGCTTATCCTAAAATTTATCTGGCAACCTGTTGAAAATCATCGTGACGTCTTCGGTACAATTTTCCACCACGATTTCCTTGATTTAAACGAGTTTTAAGTAAAGCGCAATGCTAATTTAAAATGGCAGATCCAAGATGGCGGATGGTTCCAGTTCCTTCTTTAATAAAAAACTATCGGTACGCCATCAGGACATCATGCACTCATTAAAAAAGTAGCTAAAGATTATTAAGGTCTTAGCTAACGCCTTGATTTTATAAGACACCTTACTTTTAAAGTTTTTCTTCGTTCTATGGCTACTTTTAGGGGAATTAGGATTTTGCTACTAAATTCATAACATGACGTCATAATGACGTCAGATTATGTCATTGTGTCAATCAAGTTACGCCCAGATGTTGCAAATAATGGGTACATTACTCTGTGTAATTTTGGTGGCCATAGATTGAGCGGTTTTAAAGTCATAAAGGGGGACTCGGAAGGCTTCCCCCGCCTCCCGGTCACAGGAACCTAAAAAAAAACGATCTGAATAGGATTAATGGTGTTCCTGCCTTTTTATCCCCTTTCATAAGACGGACAGCACTTTAACACCACTTAGTATAGGGCTGTTCCTAAAGGTGTCCACCTCATAGAGACTTTTAATTAAACTGTACCTATAAGTGAGTTTGTAATTGTAATTCAAATGAGTTGTTAAGTAAAGCTTTATGATAACGTATGCGGGAAAAGCATTCTCGCACGTAACACACCTAAAAATTTGACCTCTGGTTTCCTCATCTTCGATAAACTTAAAAAACTGTTATTAATCTGGTAGATCTGAATTTAGTTAAAGGGGAGGCATTATTCAGGGAATATTGGGATTAAAGTACAGTACAGACCCACAGTATAAGAACCTAGAGATTTAAGAACGTACAGGCTGAAATTTGACATTTAAATACCCAAAATATAAGAACCTGTTCAGCCAGGCAAATTAGAATAGGTTCTTATACAAAAAAAATCACTCCACTTTTGATTGTCAAAATTGTGAATTTTAAATGTGTGAGAAACCTCTGACGAAAAGTTATTGTGTGAATTTTTTTGTTTGATTTAACATTTGTTTGGTCTTTCACTAGAAATATTTCTTCCATAAAGGTACAGTGCAAAAACGGAAACAACAACAACAAAAAAGGAAACTTGACAGCGTCACGGAAATTGTGGACATTTTCTGATAAGTTAATATGACAGGATTTTCTTTAACATTTTTCTTTTTGTTTCTACTACACTTTCCTCACAAGTGCCGAATCCCACATCGTAAAAATCACCGAATCTCATAACCCTTTCAAAGTTACTATCCTAATCTTGCCCACGTTTTGCCTTAGAATGCCGAATCCCGACCTTTCGATTTTTTTTTCTTTGTTAGATGAACTATATTAACTTTCTTTTAAACTAAGCTGGCTTAGAAAATTTTTTCCTAAGGAACTGTTGAGGCCAATGGGGATTAAAAATAAGCCGTATTATTTCAGCCAACAAAGTTGAAGAATGATTATAAGTCGGCTTTAGACGTAAGGAGGCCTTCCGGGATCAAGCGTACAGCACACCCTGTGTGAAAGCCCCAAGCTAGGCGGACTCGATCCCTATAATGGCTTATACGATGAGGGCCCACCTAAAAGAGGTACCTTCAGGCTTTTACATGAAAGAGTAGGGATTTCAGTAGTTTACGTATTTGAAAGGGTAAACTAATCTGTCATTTTGGGCAGTAAAAGGAGCCAAAAGGGCTAACAGACGCATTTTATGGCGGTGAAAAAGTTAAGAAAACGTTCTCGTTTTGTGATTTATTCATATTTCAAATACAATGCAATTACACAAGTTTAAGGGGATGCATCGTTCTAAGGGACGGACCATTGTTTTTTTGACAGGACTGGGGGAGTTTAAACCAAATTGTTTGGGGAGGCTGTAAACACTGAAAAAATGCAATCGAAAAATTAAAGTGTTTACAGGAAAACGGACACACACACTCGTTTGCAGCACGAGCCGCATCCATATAAGAAAATATATATTTGCATGTGAAAATTTTCCACTTTCCCCCTCCCCCCCGTCAAAAAGTAATGGTCCGCACCCCCAAATCAAGGATGAAGCCGCGCGAAGGCCAAAAACGAGCCATTTTGCCATTTTGCCATCCTTGATTGGGGAGGTCTTGGCTTTCCATTTACCTTGTCCAAGATTTTAGGTATGAAGAAGTAGCACCATTTGTCAGTAGAGGGTGACAAAAGTGACAAAAATGGTATATTAAAAGGTGAAGGGTTGGACCTCGGGCCGTTGGTTTTCAGGTGGAGCCTCCCCTTACAAAACTGAATAATTTAGTGCCCCTCCTCCCCGGAGTAGGGTCACTTATGAACTACGCCTGAACAAAGTGTGGGTCAAATTTGTTAATATTCAAAATATCCAAATGGTTCTGATTTCAGTTTTGTTTCTAGATAAGTAATAACAGAAGTGATGAAAGAACTTCGGAGATAAGTTAAAAATGGTAACACATTTTCTGAATTCTAAAACTGATTTAACCATGTGATACATTTCTTTGAAAAACGCTCGTTACTTTTTGCCCTGCAGTTAAACTTATCTGGCCTTACTTGTCCTTCATGTTCGCTAATCAAACCTTAGTACGTAGGTGTTGTTGCAGCCCGCAAGTAGTTCCCCGCAAGCCTACCTCCTGACTCTCTTTTTAGGCTTAGGGATGGCACACGATATTAAGCACAATCTCTGCGGGGGCCTATCTTTTTTAAGTACTATGTACACGGCATTGATGAAAAACAGGTCTTAGTAAGTTAGGTTAGCCTTTGAACAGGCCTTTGGTCGAGAGGAGAACTAGGGAGAGGGAAAAGCGATTTTTTCCCCAAACAGAGAGCCTGTTCACAGGCTATAGTTAGGTTAACTTAGATAGTCTTGCATATTGTTTAGACTAGTTAGGTTTATTTGAAAAACGTTTTGTTTACTCCTGGTGGATTTTACCGTGTTTAAATAAAGAATTATTCTGTTCTATTCTATTTTATCCGGTTTTCGTATTTTTCATCCCTGGTAGCTAGAGCGTGTGTGTGTGTGTGTGGGGGGGGGGGGGGGGAGGGCTACTCAATAAAGTTCATACGGGGAGGCTTCGCCCTTTAGTCGTATATAGGTATGTGCCCCTCCAAAGGGTGTGGGTTTTGTCAGGAGGGTGATGGGCTCCTGGTTTTTGTGTTGTTTCGGTCTGAAAACGGGTTTAGAATTTACTCATTTTGCTCATTTTCTTGATTTGGTATTCGGGGGAACTACGGGAGTGTAGGAAAGTATTTTTAGTTTCAACGCCAAATGAACATAAGGACCTGGAAAGAATATTATGCGATTTCGAAATGGATCGGCATAGAAATCTTTTTATTGGAGTTCTAATCGAAGTTATTATGACATAATTTCTTAGTAGCCAAGTCTGGAAACGGGTACGGATTTTAGAGATTTTTTTGGAAAAGTGGGCCGCACAGCTCCACCACTATAGGATTATCCCTCCTCCCCCCCCTGGACAAGTCCTAATATTTCGAAGGTCTATGACGCAACACCACGCCGATGTGCATATTTCGCGCGCTTGTCTGTTTTCTTTAGGCGGCACTATGTACGTGGGTTGTGTAAGGGCAAGTACAGTAGTAGCAGTAATAGTATATCCTGCTTAATGTAATGGATTGATAATGTTTGACATGCAGCTAGAAAACAGATCAGTTATACGTTCAGAGGCACGCCGCTTGCTTTAATATTTCATGCGTAATCTGATAGGAAGTCTTTAATATATAATATTGCTCGAAGATCAGAAGCACGTTTTTCGGGAGACTCACAAGAATCGCTGTCATCTATCTTAGTCGCGGATCGACTTTCGTTAGTTGTTTTTTCAGCAACGGTAGAACTCGCTCAACAACGATGAATTCCAGACACCTCTATGTTCTCTTGCTCACGTGGATTATTTGTAGCAGCATTATTGTTTGTGTAGAGGCACGGGTTGGTACCTTGTGGCCATACAGAGAAAGGAGACGGAGGCAAACGCGACGGAGAGAACGAGTGCCTTCCCCCAAGAATAAACTACTTAAACAGTCTAAATTCAGGGTATGTATGAACTGCTAAATGTTCCTAGTTGAAGGCGACATGATCCTCCTGAAGCATGGTTCTTCATTGGAGATACGAATATCTTATTTCAAAAAGATAGACCAGGGATTTTAAGTACGTTTCCTTTCCACGCGATGAGTGGGGGTGGGAGAAACTCACAAGGACGATATGATGGGGTAAGGAAATCCTGGGCTCCAAATATCAGGGGCTCCCAACGTCAATTCTCGGAAAATATCTCTGCGGAAGACGATTTAAGATTTAGAATTTTTGGAACATTTGTTGTAAAGTTTCTTGATTGCCAGCCTCTCCTAGGATTTTCGACCATCTAAAAAATGGTATAAAAAGGTCACCTAGAATTTTCAGAAGCCTTTTTCCTAGCTGAAGTTTTCGAAAAGGTAAGTTTTGATCCCTATAATTTTCGAATCATTAGACTTTCAGCTAGGAAATCCGAACAGATGAAAAATTTTTAGGGGATAAAAATATGCCTATATCTACCGTTTAAATACTAAAATACGTTCAACAATGTTATTAGACATTCATTATTAGACTTAGTGCCGTTTTTCTCATTATTTTTGTTGTTGTTATCATCAAAGTACTTAAGCTCTAGTGGATGTTGTACCGACATTAATATTACACCAAGGGAGCGAGTCATAGTCAATGGTCCCTTGGGTTAGTTCTCCTCCTTCAACTTTCCAATACCTTCCTTAAGATCCTTGCTGCTTCCAACAATGCTGTTTTCTGCAGCAAACCCGTATTCATGGAAATCCCCAGCTTGTCAAGCCATGTATTCAATCTTTTGGTTACTGCACCGAGTGCACCAACCACTACCGGTACCACTTCCACACGTCTCATAGCCCATAATTTTCCAATCTCCATCTTGAGATCTTGGCATTTCTCAATCTTTGCACTCTTCTTTTGATCCCATGGCGAGCAATATCCATGATAATTGACTTGCTACTCTCTTTCTCAACAACAACAATGTCAGGTCTTGTGGCCTCAATAATATGGTCACACTGGATAGTCATGTCCCACAATATCTTGCATATTTCACTTTCCTCTACCCCACCAGGTTGGCAAAAAAAAAAAATAAAAAAAATGAAACAATAAAAAAATAGTTGTTGTTATTATTATTGTTATTTTGATTTTTTTTTCTGGCTTTTCTTTTGTTTTTGTTTCTGTTTTTTGTTTTTTTGTTTTTCTTTTTATAAATAATCCGCTCTCAAGCAGCATTTGTAAATTGCCTATACGTAGCGAGATTTACAATTGTACATTTAAAAACACAAATAAAGTTTCCCTTATTATTATTATCATCATTGTTACTTAAATGACTGACTGGTTGATTTTTTTAGCATAAGCGAGCAGTGGAGGAAGATTATGATGACACTGCGTGTACTCACGCGTGGAGGTTAAAGGCCCATCCAAAATGAACTGGCTAAGGCCACCCCACCGTTTACATACATTGCAACGGTTTCCATATCTGCAAGTCCAGCGTCCTATACATTGCTGTTCTACCAAGGAAGGCCTACAGTGGTTTCTGTGACCATACAAAGTCATCACGAAATAACACTATTGTATTTTCTGTAGTTTGCGCAAGTGGACGAAGTCAATTTTTGTTGTTGTCGTTGTTGTTGTTTTTCTTTTATTTGTAGCTGAAGCAGTATAAGTAGGTGGGCTATGATCGTCCCAGTGAGGAATAATAATAACAACAATGATAATATGAAATAATAATAATAATAATAATAATCATTATTATCATTAGCGCAAGTACCAGCAGCAGGTGTTAGATGTAGAAATGGGTTCGTTTACGCCTTTAGTGTTTAGAACCAATGGCAGAATGGGAAACGAGTGTCAACGGTTCTTAAAGCGTCTCGCAGGCAAGATAGCTCAGAAAGACACCGAGCCTTATCATGTTGTAATCACTTGGCTCAGGACACAGATCTCGTTTGAACTCTTAAGATCGGTACATGCATGCGTCAGAGGTTCGCGAACGCCGTTTCGTAGCAAGATAGAGCAATCATTAGACTGTAAAATAGATGTCGCTAGTGCGGATATCTGAAATACGTGTCTATATGCTTTTATACTTAGGGCTTTTTATGGACACTGGTTTAGCCGTCATTAGTATAATTCGATTGCTTGATCTTAATATCTCTGCATAATGGAATTCTTAATTTTATAGAATTTTGAACTTTTATTATTAATTATATCTATTTCCTCTTCTTTTATGTAAGGTTAAGTTACTTCTATTTTTTAGAATTTGTAAATGAACAGTTTTTTCTTTCTTCACTTATTATATGTAGGATTGTTTTTGTCCTCTAATGAAGGCCGAGGGGTTTCTTTTGCAACGGATGGAATAGTAGATAGTGTTTTGATGAATTAATTAGATTTTTTGTAACAGCAGGTTGATTGTAAACAGGATTTTAATTGAGGTTTTGTAATAAAGATTTTGTCCATGGTTATTATCATTATTATTATTTTTCAGTTATCAATAAAGGTATTGTTATTATCAATATCAGTGTTCCTATTTTTGGCAGCAGCAGTAAGAGTAGCAATATTTAATCAATTATTTAACATCATTTGCTTGGCGTACGCTTTGCCCTTTGTCCATTAATATGATGTCAGCTTTCAATTTTTGTTTATCCATTTCAAAGTTATTAATGATCAAAGCCAGCCCGGTTACTTTGGCACCCAGAACAACCTGAGGCGGGGGGGAATTGGGAGTCGCAACCACCAAGTTTCCACCCCCCTCGCCTCCCTTTTACGTCCGTGGTTTAGTTTGAGGCCGGGAAAATCAAAAGTAAAGATTCAATGGCGTGAACAGATAACACTCTTTAGGATAGTTCAGGTTTAAACAGATGATTTGTTTCTCGTGTATCTGGGCTTTTGTGGACTTGAATTTTAGCTGCGTGGTACACACGGCCAACTAGGCTAAAAGTGATTTATGCCGCGCCATCTGTGGCAAAATCCTTTTTAATATCCTATTTAAGTATCGAGACCCTCAAAGACCATAGTCTGTATAATCGGCTGGCATAATGCCTAACTAATTGTAGCTCATATAATTTCATGGAAGTACAGAAGGCCTGAATTTGGCAGTTCGGGTAAAGCAAAGGGACGATGTGAAATTTTCATCTTTCATCATCAGCCATCTTTCATTATTGAGTCAAATTATTTGTCCATCATTTGTAACAATATTCTCAAAAACTCACTGGCAACATCACTTTCATCGATGCTCTACTGGGCTTTTCAATGGAGATATCCGATTATTCATCCTAAATGGTCGAGAATTTATAGAAACAGCTGAAAATTTAAGTCCGATTTGCAATCTCCTATAAACTGGGGAAAAATACGCAGCCAATCGTGTTTATTCTGGTCCGTGCTATGAAAACATTATGTGTGCGTTTTTTGCCTAGGAATAATATTAACCAGTACGTTTCCTGTTTTGTAAAAGGGTTATGTTCCACGATACCGTGATTCAGCCCATAAAACGGGCTTCCGGTCGTGAAATGTCTGACCACATTAACGTCAATAGCTTTGTTTTGGTGTAGTATTAACATTACGATGATTAGGACTTTATCTGTTATGTTAACACTTTTTAATAAAGCTACAGGGTCAAATTTGGTCAAATCTGTGTGGGACAAATAAACGGAAATTGATGACCAGCCGCCAACGGAAGATCCCGGGGGCAGTCAACAAAGTTTTTTTACCGGGAAGGCTCCGCCACGCGTTCAAACTTCGTACCCTGGCCTTTTATAAACCATTTTTGACACAGAAAATGTAGCCCTTGCGTAGCTGACTGAAATGCATCTGAAGCCCTTTTGGGTTTTTTTACAGACCGAAATGACAGAATTCGGTACCCTTTCATATACTTCAACTATCGAAATCCCTACGCTTTCATAATCAGCCTGAAACTTTGTACTCCTTTCGAGATTAGGAGCCTCCCCTCACAGGCAATTTTAGGGTGTCCCCCCGGGAGTAAGAGTCACACGGAATATAAATTTTTATCCTCGCTACCTAATGACATCACAGTTAACTTGCACATCACCGGATCGATTTCTGTTTTGGTGACTAAGCAGTTGAAGCCTGCGCCGCAATATAAATTCATGTATCATGCACCACGATCCCATGGTGGAGTAAATTTCTGTTCCGTGTCCGTAGCCTGCGCTGCGAGTAGCGGGACGTCACGTCACAACAAGCGGTGTGAACCGTCTTTGACGCAGTCTTCTGGCCAAAGAACAATCTCTGTGGAGGGTCCATCCGGTTTAAGATTATTTTAAAGGCTTTATTTTAAAACTAACAATTTTAAAAGAGTCTTAATTGCGTCATCCAAGTGATTTTCGAATTGCATTGGGTAAGGTGGACAAGGTGGAATACAGAGTGCAGAAAATGAGGAGTGACGAAACTTTGGATCGGTGAAAAAAGCGGAGCGGTAGAAAATGCGAAGTGTGGTGGAAAGCGAGAAATACTGATAATAAATTAAAGCTTGTAGAACGCTTAAAACAGAAAGCGCTATTCCTCGTTTTCCTCTCTTCGCAATTTCCGCGTTTTTCACCCTGCATTTTCTTCCGCACTTCTCATTTACCACACTCCTCATTTTCAAGGCACTCTCTTAGTTACTATTTTCTACCGCACTCTGAATTTTCAACACTCTGATCGACAATTTTCTCCCAAACTCCTCATTTTATACCACATTCTTCATTTTCCACACTTTGCATTTTCTACCTCAGTCTTACTTTTTCCACACTCTGCATTTTCTTCCACAGTCCTCATTTTCCACCCTTTGCATTTGCTTAGCCGCAATCCTCATTTACCGGACTTGCGAATCCCCATTTTCCGACTACCACAGTCTCCATTTTACATACCGCACTTCTCACTTTTCAACACTCCACATTTTCTATTAAAAGCCTGAGAATACAGCCGTCACTCATCGCACCTTGCCGCGAAACGTCCCAAGCGGCGAAGGGCAAGGACAGACGACGAATTTGCAGGAAACAGTTTATTCCGCACTCCTCATGTTCTTCCCCACACAGTATTTTCTACCCAACCCACTCAGCACTGCATTCGACCGGTCGCCTTAAGCAAGTTACGTTTGTTTACCAGATGCATGTGATCTCGCACTGATTGGCAAGATTATGACGCAAATCTTTTAACTGGCTTAGTCGTCACGTCTGGGTCAAATTAAATTCTTATGCCAAGTGTTTTTGTAAAGCTATTTAAAAATGATACCCTGTAAATTCTGCGTTAAGCGCTGAGAGCAGGGATGTTCAAATAAAACCGCTTTTTTGTTATTAATGAACATAACATAAACCCTACGTGGGTCGCCTACTGTACACAAACACGGCATAACTGCAGTCTCGTAGGAAGAGCATCGTTGTCAATAATGTTGTTCTAGCCGAGGAACCTGAACTTCTATCGTTTTTATTGAGCACCAGCAGAAACGCAACGATGAATTCCAGTCATCTTTTTACCCTCATGCTTTTGTGGATTATTTGTAGCAGCATTATTTGTGCAGAGGCAAGGGAGTGTAATTTATGGCCACTCAGGTTTAGGAGGAGGAAGCGACATAGGGGAGACAGAATGGTGGCCCCAAAGAAATTCAGGGTATGTTAGTGATTAAAGACTTGTTAAATGTTCTCAGTCGAAGAATGATGTACTTAGTAACATGCCGCAGAAACTCCGTACAATCTCTTGACCAGCTCTGTATACGAGCCCTTGTGTAAGAGCTGGCTCGCAGGCTACCCTGCCTTGTATTATGCTATACCTCATTACATGAAATTTTGGTGACACGTTAATTCAGCAATTTTGAAAAATCCTCATTTAGCGAAACTTTAATTTTATTGGCAATTTTTCGTCTATTTTGGAACATACTTAATTTTACTTAATTTTCGCTATTTCACGAACTAAAACTTTGGCGATTTCAGGCATATTCAAAACTTTTACGACGACAATAAAACGTTTACGTGATAAAATCATAACAGTCAATAGCTTCATTTATATCACAATCATATATTGTTCTGAAAATTAATTTTGAACGAAACAAACGAACTGCAACTGTACATGTGATGTCATATTTAAGGTATACAAAGTCAATGATACACGTCATAATCGACCGTCAAATAACATGTACGCTTGAAACTGATTAGATGGCGAAACTTCATATTGAACTCATTTTAATTTAGAGAAATTTCATGTATTGAGGTAGATGTAGATGTAGGGAAGCGTTGACAGGCATAACTGCTTTTGTTAATGTTTCACATGCCAGATGGTGAGGAGTGCGTCATGCTGCATCGCATGTCCACAAATTCGGGAAAAAATCATGCCGAACTCCCGGCTAGGGGTAGGAAAACCAAACCAGCATAAAATAAGCAAATCTCACATCCCGAAATGCTGCATTTTTCACTTCCTTTACAGGATGTTATAGTGGAGGAAGATGACAACCCACAGTGTCGTCATGCGTGGAGGTCAGTAAAGAAGACTCGTCCAAGACGCCAAACGCCTTAGAAGCTTTCTTTTGTTACACAGTACAACAGCGGTTCCCATGTTTGCAAGTCACCGATGTCCTTGGATTTTAGTTTAACTAGGTGGTTTAACCGATTGCTTGCTGATCCACCAATCAAGTGCCAGGCAGATGCAGTGATTTTTGTAGCCTTGAAGAAACTTTTATCAGTTGTTTTTCCTGCTGTACTTTTGTATAGATGAGCGAAACTAATCATAACTAATATCACGAATCAGCAACTCCTCTGGATTCAACGTACGTCTCAAATTTGTTTGTTGGTGTTGTTGCTGCTTTCCCTCTGCTGATGATAAAGAATAAATGTGTCACGAAGTTTTTAATTTTGGTTCTGGTTTTCTTTTCACTGTCGAGGAAACGCCATAATAATGTTTTATATTTCTATTAAAATATATTTCTAAATAAACTGATTAAACGTTTCATTTATACGAAGATTCAGTCCTTGCAGTGGTGTCAGAACGCCTAGTAAGATAATGGAAAAATGTATCCAG